GAGTCAGGTCGATCTTCCTAAATCCTTTTGGGGTTACGCCTTGGAAACGACAGCGCTTATACTGAACAACTGTCCAACAAAGTCGGTTCAAAAGACTACATATGAGATATGGACTGGAAAGCGTCCCAGGTTAGCATTTATGAAGATTTGGGGACGCGACGTTTATGTGAAACGTCTGGCTTCTGATAAGCTATCCGCCAAGTCTGATAAATGCATATTTGTGGGTTACCCTAAGGAAACTAAAGGGTACTGGTTCTATAACCCATCTGAGAATAAAGTGTTTGTTGCTCGGAATGGATCCTTCTTGGAGAGAGAGTTCATCTCCAAGAGAGTTAGTGGGAGTAGAATAGATCTCGAAGAAGTTCGAGAACCACAAATAGTCGAAGAACCGAGTGAACAGGTCGAAATAGTTCAACCTGTGTCACAAGTTGTTGAGACAACACCTCCTAGTGAACCTCAGAGATCTGGTAGAATTCGCCAAGAGCCTACAAGATACGGATTTCTTGTGACTGGAAACGACGAACTCATGTTGTTGGAACATGATGAGCCTACATCGTATTCAGAGGCTGTGGTCAGTACAGATTCCGAGAAATGGCACCACGCCATGGAGTCTGAAATGCAATCCATGTACGACACCAAAGTGTGGACTTTGGTCGATTCGTTCGATGGTATTAACACCACTGGATGCAAGTGGGTTTTCAAGAAGAAAACCGACATGGATGACATCGTGCATACCTATAAGGCACGACTATAATGAAACCTTTTCACCAGTCGTGATGCTTAAATCCATACGAATTCTGCTGGCCATAGATTTGTATTATGACTACGAGATATCGCAGATGGGCGTCAAGACCGCATTTCTTAACGGGAATCTGCTCGAGGATGTGTACATGACACAACCCGAGGGTTTTGTCGATTTTAAGAGTCCGAGGAAGGTGTGCAAGCTTCAAAGATCCATTTATGGATTGAAGCAGGCTTCGAGGAGCTGGAATCTTCGATTTGACGAGGTAGTCAAAGCGTTTGGCTTC